TTTCATTTTGGACTATTTTTTCCATTAAGAAATTAATTTTGATGGCCTTTGGATCTAGTCCAAAGACTTTTTAGAGTCTAGAGGTGCCAGGAGTATTTCTCAGTGTCAAGTCCTTCTAAGAAAGAGAAGCCCGTTGGCTGTGGAATAGTGCATGGAACTTGGAGGTAGCGACCATGAACAAGCATGAAGGCAGATGTGATATCAAAGTCAATGATAAAATCTGCAAGATGGGGGAAGGAGGGAGAGGGAGAAAGTCACAGTGACTAAACACTTGCTAGGAGCCACAGCCAGTCTCCAAGTGGCAAGATTGTCAACACCCTTTGAGATACTGCATAAAACGTGATTGGTGGTGGTCTTAGTTCCTGTGTCCTGGGCAGGTGATGGCCAGCCATGCCAACCACTAGATAACATCTCTGGGTGAGTGGGGCAAGTTCTCTGGGCAGGAGTGGTGGTGGAGGAACTGTGTGGGGCTGAGTCAGGAGACTATAATAAAGCCCATCTCCTTCCTGGCCTCAGAGTCCCCTTTTAAGGGCTCTGAGAGCCATTTATCAAAAGCCAAAAGGCTGAAAGACAACTTGCTATAAATAACATCTCAATATGATTGTTTTGCCCAGCGAACGGCTCACTGAAAGCTATCAGACAAATACCTTAAATGAGGTATCAAAAGGTGGCTTAGGCAAGGGCGGGTCCCTGAGAAGGGACAATGATGAACAGCTCTTAAGGAGCTAGCTCTGAGTGCAGCATTCCGGATTTTATGTGAGACACATATGAAAGTGACTTTCACTGAACTGGGAGGACAGATGCTGGGAGATGTGTCCAGTGAAGCATTTGCACAACCTCCCTTGGAAACCTGATGCCTGGAGAAAACTCCCTCACATTTGGTGAACTGATCACCAGGCGAACTGACATGCAGCGGGCTACCTTTCACTGCGCACCGCATCACTTTGTCCAGGAGTCAGAGACTCCTCCCGAGGCCAGAGACAAAAAGACTCTAGCAGAGACCTCTGGGGTCATCTCCCTCCTAGGTTTTAAACATTTTTTTGCTACTAGCAAGAAACCCTTTTCAAGTAAAGTATTATCTGGAGACTGATACTTCATCTAAAACCACCACAAGGGGAGGGGCTGGCTGCGATACAGGGGAGGGACCCAGAGCTGTGGCTGAGTTCTGCTGGGATGAGTTCATGGGAGAAGTATTAAAACATGAACTGTTCTGCTTCTGTGCCATGGAGGGAGAAACATCAAAGGCAGTCTCTCTTCCCTCCCTAGTTCTCTCTTTCCCTCCCTCCCTCCCTCTCTTTCCTATTTTTTCCCCTTTCTTAGTTTGCCTGAAAAGTTAACTTGGCTAACTTTAAAAATTGTGTGTGGGGGGGCTGGGAAGGTGGCTCAGTGGTAGAGCACTTGCCTTGCATGCATGAGGCCCTGGGTTCGATTCCTCAGCACCGCACATAAGCAGAAAAAGCTGGAAGTGGTGCAGTGGCTCAAGTGGTAGAGCACTAGCCTTGAGCTGAAGAGCTGAGGGACAGCACCCAGGTCCAGAGTTTAGGCTCCACAACTGGAAAAAAAAAATGTGTGTGTGTGTGTGTGTGTGTGTGTGTGTGTGTGTGTGTGCATGTGTGCATGCATGCATACGTGCGCGTGCTGGTCCTGGGGCTTGAACTCAGGGTCTGGCTACTGACTCTGAGCTGTTTTACTCAAGGCTAGTGTTCTATCACTTGAGCCACAATTCCACTCTGGCTTTTTGGTGGTTAATTGGAGACAAGAGTCCCATGGACAATGTTCCTGCCTAGGTTGGCTTTGAACTGAGATCCTCAGATCTTTGCCTCTTAAGTAGCTAGGATTGGAGCTGGGTGCCACTGACACCCAGCCTAAATTAAAAATGTAGAAGGTGGATTATTTGCCAGTTACCTGCAAGATACAATCTAACTGCTCATCTTGACATTGTAAGTCCTGGCTCCCTTCCCCAAACCACTTGTCCTATTTAGCCAGAGGCAAGGCTTAGCTGTGTCTGGGCTCAGGTCCCTTTCTATTTTCCTGATGCTCCTCCATCCATGACTCCCTTCACAGAGGTCCCCTTGTGGTGCCCACAGCCTGGATCTGGATCTCCCCCTGAGCCCTGTCTACCATGTGAAGGGACTAAAATTCCCTGTCTCATAGCCTCCAAAAACCAAGGAGCTCTCTGAGGCCAGGCCCTGTGGTAAGACTGCATCCTCTATCCTGGGAGCATTCAGGAGATATTTGAACACTAACAAATATCAACCCACGGTGTCCCATACTGTGGTCATTAAGGAGAAGTGGGATGGAGGACCCAAGGGAAAGAAAGCCACAAATAAAGAGAGAAGTGTGGCAGTAGAAAGAAAGGGAAGAAAGATAAATGAGAATTTCAGTGGTTCCTCAGTATCCAATAACTACATACTCTGCTCAGTTCCAGAAAGACAGTGTGCGCACACACACAGAAAGAAAGCAAGGAAGGAAGGAAGGAAGGAAGGGGAAAAAAAGAGACAAGCCCGTGTCCTTCTGGGGTTCTTATTCTTGTGAAAGAACTCAGTCATTATCCAGACAAACAAACAACAAGTACAGAGTGATATGCCGGTGACAGGGTGTGTGTATGTGTGCACGTGCATGTGCATGTGTCCCTGTGTGTGTGTATGTGTGTGTGTCCATTGTGTGTGGGAGGCCAGAATGGTTGACATGGTGAGGAGGAATGAGCTGCACTGAGAACCAGGAATAGCTCTTCTGGCTAAGAACCCAGCAGGTGCAAAGGCCCAGAGGCAGGAGGGAAACCTTTGATTTCTGTGAACAAAAAGAAGGGTGGTAGAGTATGCAGAATTGGGGAGAGAAGTCAGGGTGGGGTAGGGGACAAGGCCAGACTATGATGAATGCTAAGAAAATCACCCCACTCTTTTAAATGGCACAATGCTGTGATTCTGTGACCAGTTAGCCTCATACTTGAAGCATATTCTAAGTAGCATGCCCAAAAATCATTTCACAGGGGAGTGGAACTTTGCAGTGATTAAGGCCCACATATTTACAGTTCCCTAAGTCTGTACAATATGTTTATTCTCAATGATTTCCTTTTCTGTCCCCTGAGACTGTACGATATGTTTATTCTCAATGATTTCCTTTTCTGTCCCCAAAGGTGATTTATATTGCCCTGTAGATTTCAACTAGTTTGGTATTTAATTTAACCATCTTATTCTTTTTTTGTTCACTTGTTATAAAAAATGCCTATTTCTCAAATCCTCTTTGAAATCTATTTTACCTTCTTTTAGATTCCCTTATTAATGAGTTAAATAAATGTTAACATGTGCACACTATCGATTTTTGTGAGAATTATGTTTTTAACCTTTCGAGCATTACATTGTGATAGGAATTTGAAAGTGCATTAAAAGCCAGAGAGTGAGAACAAGTGTATGCTTTACAAAGGACTCTGAGATGGTTGGGGAAGGCTGGTTAGACTTTACTGGACTCAAGGGAAGCAAGATGCCCAGTTTGGAGTCAAGGAGAAAGGGCCACATGTCTGGAATGAAAGTGGTAGAGATGGGAAGTGTGAGTCCTGACTCACTCCCAACACACAAAGACTTGATTCTCTTTCTATGTTGGACCACTACAATCTGTTTTTCTTTCTTTCTTTCTTTTTTCTTTTGTGGTCCTGTGGGGTTTGAACTTGCTGGAAACACTCTACCTCTTGAGCCAGGCTCCTAACCAGTTTTGCCTAAGCCAGACTCAGACCACAATCCTCTGCCTCCTTAGTGACTGTGATTTACAGGCATCCGCCGCCATGCCTGGCCCCACGGTCTGGCTCATTGGCAGTTTTCCCCTCTGATCTAGGAGCTCCTGGGCAAGGTCAGCTCCACCCTTTATGTTTCCTCAGCAACCATCCCTGGGCTGAGCACAGAGCTGTGGTTGGCAACAATTGCTAAGTGAATTCAACCCGTTAGATTCTTCAGCATTATCATCTCATTTCTACTATTGTGATGAAATGCAAATCACATACTATTTACCATTTTAAAGATCTTTAAGTGTCCAGTTGGGTGGTAGTAAGTACATTCACATTGTTGTGCAATATCACCACCCTCCAGCCTTCCAAATGGAAACTCAGGAGCACTGAGCACAAATCCATATTACCCCTTCCCCAGCCCCCCCTCCCCCTCCCCCCCCCCCCCCCCCGGGATCTACTGTTCTCTTTTCTGTCTCTATAAATTTGAGTATTCTACTCTAGGAACTGCAAAGGAAGAACAGAATCATACAATATTTATCCTTCTATGTGGCTTACTTCACTTAGCATCATGTCTTCAAGTGTTAGCCATGTCTTAGCCTATGTCAACAATTCCTTCCTTTGTATGCCTGAGTAATATTCTATTGTGTGTATGCCATGATTTATTTATCCCTTTGTCTGTGGATGGACATGAGGACATGCTATTGTGAACCATTCTGCTGTGAACATGGTGCAAATATCTCTTTGGGTTCCTGCTCCAGCTCTCTCTGGAATCCATCCAGAAGAGGATTTGTGGGACCCTATGGCAATTTTATTATTTCCTTTAGTTGAACCATCTTATATTTCCACTAACAGCACACAAGGGTTCCAGTTTTTCCACATCCTTGCCAATACTTGTTAATGTCTATTTGTTTTTTTTTTAATGGCTGTTCTAAGAGTGTGAATTTATCATCATTTAAAAATATAAATGACCGTGCTAGCGGAATACCCTACAGTGAGACTGGGCCGGGAATCCGGGTGGGGAATCTATCCTCATTGTTGTTCGGATGGTTGAGGGGATTGAGAGTTGTCCTGGGTTGGGAGAGTACTTAAGGGGGCAAGGCTGAGAAACAGTGTCCCAAGACAATCCATGGGCTCACAGTCTGGACTTGGGTTTGGTCAGAGAAGCCCCAGCCCTGGTGGACTGAAGCAGAGCTTGCTTCTGTGACCCCACTGTTAGGCTCTTCACCTCTGGGAAACCATTTCTAATGTGAGCCTCTCTTTCCTTGTGTTGCTTCCCTCGCAGTGTGACAATGCAAAAGGATTGAAAGCCTTCTACGATGCAATAAAATACGGGCCGAACCATTTGATGGTGTTTGGAGGCGTCTGTCCATCTGTCACATCCATCATCGCTGAGTCTCTCCAAGGCTGGAATCTGGTGCAGGTAAGGGCCGAGCTGCCTGCCATGGCAGGGGTGAGGGAGGAGGGGACGTCTTTGTGGGCTGCTGGCAGCTAATGTTGGAATGCTTCCTTGTGTGATGTGGTTTTTCAGTTGTCCGAATCAGGCTTTCTGCCTCTGTCCTGGGTGATGGCATGACCTCCCACTGTCCCCTCCTCCCAGCCTTACCCTCTCACCCAATATTGTGTAACACATACAGTAGGCTCTTCAAGGGCAGCCCTGATGTCACACCCTGTGTTTGAAGCCACAGTGCTCACCACTGACTCTGTACCCAGGCTCACATTAACTCTGGCCAACCTGCCTGCATAGTGACTCCTTCTGCCATCCACCCCACAGCAGTGTCCTCCAGACAGCGCCTGCCCCACATAACCCTGAACTTAGGACCTCAGTGTCCTACCTGCTCTGTCCTTAACCAGATGTCCCTCTGTCCACTTTCTGCCTGCATTCCTCTGTCACTGAATTGCTCTTCTCCACCAAGACTGCCACGCCCCAACTTAATCCTTCTCTGGGCTCCTGGCCAGTTACTCATTCTTGATGCCACAGATTTATCCACTAATGACTCCCACCCTAATGTTCACTATAGTCTGGTACAGGTGAAACTCACCAGCATTAGCTGTTATTTAGAATGAGAGTAATACAGAAAGGTATGACCACCATGGGTGAGGGGTAGTCCACATTTGCCTATTTACTTCTTTAACCATGCTTCTATCACTCAGTTCATCTTTTCATCCCTCCCTCCTTTTCTCCCTCATTCTCTTCCTCTCTCCTCTATTCTTCCATTCATCTTTCTATCATCACCCATCCATCCATTATCCATCAATCTCTCCACCCATTTTCTATTCATCAGTCTTGTATCTATCCATCCGTTCATGCTTCCAGCCAGTCAGCCAACTAAACAACAACTGCCTGTCTGGTAAGCACTAAGGATATGGTGCTGAACAGGATGATGTAGTTCCTCTAATTTCAGACTTACATTCAAGGAGATGACAAGCAATATTTGATGATGATGATGATGATGATGATGATATTATTGTATAGGTCCTACCATGTGCCAGACATTGTTTTGAGCACTTATGGGCATTGACTCAATCCTTAGAACTGCTCTATAATCCAGGGATCTTCCCTATTTTATAGACAAGGAAATTTAGTCACAGAGAGGCCAAGTAACTTGTGCAAAGACTCATGGCTAACACATAGTAGGGCTAGTCTGGCCCTTAAGATAAAGCAGTGTTTCTGTCTTTGGGAGGGTAAAGAGACACAGAAATGGAGATACAAACAAATGCAGCAGTGGTACTTACTAGGCACTATGTTGAAAATGAACTGTGGGGATGGAAGGGAAAAACTGGGAGAGAGTGAGGGAAGTGGTAACGTTGTCCAAAAAGAAATGTTCTCATTACCTAACTTATGTTAACTGTAACCCCTCTGTACATCACCTTAATAATAACAATAAAAATATAAGCTATAAAAAGATAAAGCAGTGTTAAGAACTCTGGACTATGTTAGGGTGGTCAAGAAAGGCCTCTAAGAGGCTAGGACCTGAAAGATGGGAGGAGTCCACTGGATAAAGAGCACCCCACTGGCGGATGGAGTAGCAGCTATAGTCAGGCAGCTTGTGATGGGCAAGGACCTGGCATAGCCAGGGAACAGAAAGCAGGGTGGTGACACTAGAACCTGGGGGGGGGGTGCAACAATTTGGGGTGGGAACTTGTGCCAGTTGAAGAGCTTCCCTGAGATTGGGCCTGCCTGCATGGGGTACTGAGGGCAGAGCCCAAGCATTCAGCCAGGAGGGGAAATGGGCACAAGCCATGACAGAGGAGTGGGGCTGAGAGACCACCCACTCAGCCCAGGGCCATGGAAGGTTTCCCAGTGCCGGTGATGTGGGGCTGGCTGCCAAGGGAGGAGGGGGCATTGGACAACTGGCGATGAAGGGGAGAGCAAACTGGACATGCAGGAGTGGAAGGTGGAATAGTACATGGTTTTGGGAGTGGTGACACATTCCTTGGTGGAAGTAGGCCACATGGGGTGTGGGTGGATGCACTAGGAGTGGAGCCTTGAAGAGCTGCTCCATGTACCATGGTATGAACCCCACCATACGTACCTATGAGCCAGCATGGTGCCGTGTGGTTCAGGAGCCGGGCTTCAAGGCTTGAAGGCCATGAGACTTTAGATGAGTCACTTACCTTGTCTGGGTGTAAGCCTCCCTTCCTGGTTTGCAGTGCACACCCACTGAATCCTGAACTAAGAGCAGACGACAGGCCAGGGATCCTCTCACTGGATGGACTTGACCTTGGGGTAGAGTGAGTAACATGGAGAACATGCGTTCTCTGCATCTATGCACTGTGCAGACTTTCAGACTCTCCACTTCTACTTCTGTAGAACCACTGTACATTTTTTGGTGGGCTCTTTGAGTGACAACTCATTTGAAGTCCCCTGCCATCCTAGTGTTTGTTGCCAGACTAAGTGTTTGGGCTAGACTAAGAGCTCCAGCTAGACGTGAATAGTCCAACAGCCTGGAAGCTGTACAGTGCTGGACAACTTGGGGTGCCCTGAGGATCTAGGAGGCAGAATTGGTAAGCTGAGCTTTGTAGAACTGAGAAAAGAGGAAGTGGGATCCTAGATCCTAAGACAGAATAGCCTGAGGGGCTGGACTTCCACCTTCCTGTGTTCCCAGCCACAGGAAGCAAAGCCCCGTTTATTAGGAGCCAAACTCTGTGGCCCTCCCAAGTCTCCCTTCCCCAGGATCCAGGAGACCCAATGTGCCTCAGAGATGCAGGACAGGATGAGCTGGTCTTTGGCCACTCAAGTGATTTGATATGTCACTTAACTTATTCAAAACTTGGCTTGGAAACCGTTTCACAGCTGGGAGAATCTGTATAATGTGTTTAATTGAAAAGGGGCTTGGACTGCCCTTTGGGACAGGCATAGGGTTCTTGATGGACAGAGAGGGCCTGGAATGCATCATCTGCGTTTCTGTTTCCCATGCCATAAAAATAGGAATTTGCACACCAAAGGGGTGAAAACTCACCCTGGTGCTGAAACCGGTTAAATTTAATGTTTGCTTTTTGCTCAATGTCCTGATTCATGGTTGCTGCGTAGGGAGGCTAACACTGTTTGCATTGTGACGTGAGTCACTTAGCCACTGAGATCTCCACTCCTGCATCTAGACTTAAGCGCCTTCACAGAGTCCTGAGTTACAGGCATAGACAAGGGTGGTTCTAACTCACCCTGGCCAGGGCAGACCCCATAGAGGGTACATGGCTCAGTTCTGGGCCTCACACAGGCATGAACAGGATTGTCAGGGGGCTGGGCACTGGAGAAGGGAGAATACAGGATTGAAGAGAAGGATAAAGTTTTGATTTCCAAAGCTGCATGGCTTTTCTTTTTCTCCTTTTCTTTTCTTTTCTTTTCTCTTCTCTTCTTTTCCTTTCTCTTCCTTTTCTCTCTCTGTGTGTGTGTGTGTGTGTGTGTGTGTGTGTGTGTGTGTCTTGAACTGGGGCTTGTACTCAAGTCCTCACACTTTCACTTGGCTTTTTCACTCAAGTTTAGTGTTCACATCCCAACTGCTGACATTTTGCTATTTAATTAGAGATAAGAGTCTCTCAGATCTGTCTGTGCAGCCTGGCTTAGAACCTGGATCTTCAGATCCCAGCCTCCCGAGTAGAGAGGATTACAGGCATGAGCCACCAATGCCCAGCTATGCATGGGAGATTTTGAGAGATTTTGGTGGTGCTCTGGATGGGAGAAGCTGAAGCCATCACAGAAGTTAGAGGGGAGCAGACAAGCCTTGCTGCTGGTGGTATCCTGCTTGGACCAGGCTGCCTGGCTGTGAAGCTGTGATGTCCCTTTTGCTCAGGTTTCCCTGAGCACTGTCATCTTAGCAAGACCTGCTGACAGGGGAGATGAACACACAGAAGAGTTAAGACCAGGGAGGTAGTTCTTAAGCTATGTGAGAAAAGTTGTTTTATGGGGAAGCAGGGGTGGGGCTATGCTTGTGTTCTGAGGCTTCATTCTGAGGAGGCCTGGTTAGTAGGTTCATCAAATCCCTTAAGAGCCAATTCAGTGCCAGTGGCTCAGAAGACTTCCATGCACTGGGCTCTTGGAGACCCAGCATGGGTTCTCTCTGAGACCCTTCCTCTTCCAGGAAATGGAACCTGGGGAAAAAAGGATGTGGAACAGATCCCAGGGAACACTGCTAGGTACCAGGGTCACCAGGGCAAACCCCACATCCAAGGTGCAGCAAGAGGGGCTTCTGTCACTTGGCCCCTTTCCCAGAACACTTTCTGCTCAGATCTCAGTACAGGCTGTTCCCTGACCTCTGGGGACCATGCTCAACCTTCATGGCTCAGGTGTCCCCTCCTCTGGGAGTCATCTCCCTGCATGCCCCTCTCACACTGCCCTCTGTCTGCCCTACTCTGGCCTGGAGCTGGCAGAGCTCAGAGCCTCATGCAGTTCAATACTGCACCCCTGGCCTCACACCCATGCTGTAGTACCCTGGAATGTCTCCCACTCAGAGCCAGATGTCTGCCTTCTAGGCCTCAGGCTCATCCTCACAGACCCAGGGCAGAGCATCTGAGCAGGCTTGACCTGATGGTTCCCAAGGACTCTGTGTCTGCAACTCCTTCTAGAAGGGAGACCCAGCCTGAGCCCTTGGCTCAGGTTCAGCTTACTTTTCCCAACCCTGGAGCCACTGTGCTTTCATTATGTGCATCCTGACCTCAATGATCCCGACGTGGCTTGTGTGTGGCCCAACCCACTATAGGGGTCATCCTGCAGACCCCTACAAAGCTAGCTATTCTTTCTAATTCTTTCATCTTTAATATAATTTTATTGTGATTATTAAGGTGTTGTACAGAGAGAGTGGTTACATTTTGTAAGTCACGTAATGAGCACATTTCCATTTTGGGTAATGTTATTCCCTTCTCGTTCCCCTGGTTTCCCACTCTATTCCTCACCACAAGTTGCAGAGTTCATTTTCCACATAGTGT